AGTATGTTCTGATTAAGTTTCAGTCATATTCCTGAAAGGGTGCACCTTTGTGGTGTCCTTCACTGTTAAGCTAGCTGCGGTGGCAGCTTCCACGGACACTTAAGCTTTTAAGTTTTAGAAAAAATACAGGTATTTTGAAAAATTGTCGTACTGGATTAGATCAAAAGTCTTTCTAACTTGGTGTTCTGTTTCCAGTGAATGCTTAGAGAGCAATAAAATACTGCAGCTATAAGGTAATATCTCCCCAAATACTATTGCCATCTCCATGATTTGTGACTGGGGGTTTCCTGAGCCTAGGGCTATATCTATCTGTGTTTTAAAAAGAAAAGCAAAAAGCAGTAGCACAGATTTTAATGACTTAATCCGTAAGGTATGTATTGCGTGTGCTTTTGCAGTCCTCAGTTTAAAGACAGACTATTTAATTTCAGACTGCTTCAGGCATTGCCTATAATTTTAACCATGGCTGAGTTGGTGGCTTTGATAGTTGCTGGATATATTTTTCAAAAGTTCTAGAAAAAGTTTTTAATTGGTAAAGTATGTGCAAAATTGCCAGGATGATTGTATTTTAATTCAGTACTACCTATTTTGCTATAAATGCAGGAGTGGAGTAGAATTTATTTTTCAGTAAAGATAAAAGCAGAATTTTAGGAGGACAAATTACTGACAACCAGAAGTTAAAACAGTAGTATTATTAACCGGGGATAGAGGAGAGGAGAAGGAAGTACTTGAGCAGACACAGGAGGGAAATACTATGCTCTTTTGCCAGATTTCATCTTTGAGACCAGTCTTTGGCTAATGAGTACTTGTTCAAATAGCTGGGAAGGTGGAGGAGTGTTTACCTCCTATTTGGTGCAAGGCAGATGGGTGTGGGAGTGTGGTGAGTGTGTATGTACCCATGTGTGGGTGAAATGGAAAAATGCGGCCTCTGCTTATTTCCTCTTCCCACTTCCATTTAGGTAATACACTCATATAAATGTTTTAATCATAACATTGATGAAATCTCAAACTGTTCTTTTTTTCAAAAGAGAAAAGATAAAAAGAAAAAGAATAATGTATCTGTTGAATCACTCCACTGCAGGAAAATATGAAAACAAAAAAGATGTTCAGACTGCAGTGGTTCTGTGTGAAATGATTTACACATTTTTCCGTAACAGATACGTTTAAGAGTCAGTGTTAAATGGCCCTTAAACTGACTTCCATCTGGTATAAGCCAATGTTGGTGCAGGAGAGTGCTGTATGAATCAAGTACAGAAGAAATTCTGACCGGATCCAGGTCTAACAGGTTTTTCACGCCTTTTTCTTCATCTGGGATTGATGATCTGAATCACCTAAAATGATCAAAAGGGAGTCAGACCCAAAGTGTCGTAGGTCCTTGAAGGATTTGGTTTTGCTATCGTCACTCTGTATGTGTAATCAATTATGAGCATAATTACACGGGTTTGGAGTCTATTAACGTGCAGTGCCAAGTTACACGTGGGCATTTATAGCAGTTGGGTATTTTGTACTGATTCCTTCAGAACTTATGCTTTGCTCTTGCACGAGAGCCTGGTAGGATTCGTAAGGTTAACACAAGAAGTAGGGAATGCCAACTCCTCATTATTTCAGAGGAAGAGCCACACTGAAACCTGTTAATAAAATCTCTTCTGCAGGGGTGGCAGAAGAGACTCAGAAACTCCACCGCGTTTCTGAGGCCCCGTCCGTGCCAGCCGTCAGCAGCTTTCACACCAGCTCCATCTGGCACGACTAGGGAAAGCCCAGTGCGTGCCCAGCGGCTCATCCTGGTGGGAAAGCCTGGAGTGAAGCCAGAGAGGGCGGCAAGCTGTTTGCCTGGGATTTGCGCGGTAGGGCCGGTATTGGCAAGAGGGAGGCTAATGGCATTTGGGGAGAGTACAGGAGTACCGGAGGGAAGAAAAGGAGTCTCAGGCACTTACACCAGGGCTGGTGGGAGATACAAATGTTTAAATTGGCATCTTGCCCTAATGTTAGCCAAAAGGTGCAGTACCTTGTTAAATCGCTCGGCGGGAGTTCAGACCCAACCGTCGTACAGTCTGGGGAGCGCACGATAAGCCAGACACACACAATAGAGAATGATGTGAAAGCAGTTCACAGGAATGTTTTCTTTTATAAATTGTATTTTTATTGGACAGCTTTTTAGTTTTTGTCATCAAAGCTTGACTAAATGCTTCCCTCTTGAGAGTGCTGAGGGAGGGAGGCTGGGGATTAATTCACTGGAGGTATCCTAGTGCCATTTTGTTTTGGGTACCAGCTGCTGATCTGATAAAGTGACTCTGTGGAAAAAATTACTTTTATTAAGTATGCTCTGTGTGTATGACACATGCTTGAATTATCAATGGTGCTTCTTCCTGCAACCTAACTGTGGGAAGAGAGTAGATCTGCTCATAGGACTTTTGGCAAAGTACTTGTGTAAAGAGGTGGTCTAGGAGGGTAGTGTCTGAGAGCCTCAGGCAAAGATTAGCATCTCTGTAGCAGGACAATGCTGTCTGGAGAGTCGTTGCCTCCTGGTGTCAGATATTAAAGTATCTTTTTATTAAAAACAAAAACAAAAAAAACCCCAACAAAAAAACCCCAAACAAACCTCAAGGAAGTATTTATCCTTAGCACCCTCTTCTGGGCAAGTTCTTAGTGTCAGGATTTTGTAACGACAGATAAGAGTTCTTAAGATCTTTTGTATTGTTCTAAACTGCTTTCTCTCTTAGGTACCTCTAATGTTCTCAGAAGCTTACAGCTTCTGATAGAACAACAGAAGCAATTTCTTAATACGATGCCTACCAATAATGTTACCATGTGTAAAATACATTTTTTATTTTCTTCATTGTGGTAGGTGTATATTGTTTATTAATTTGTTTTGAATATTCTTCTTTGTAACAGTTCACCTAATGTTAGATATTCTTCACATATCCTCATGAAGATACCACACACGTGGCATTATACAGCATTTTTAGCATAACCAATGAATATAGCAGAGACTGAAGTGAGCACTCTTTTAGAAACCCAAGCACCTGCAAGACAGCTTGCTGTCATTCTAAGGGAAGCAAGGTAGACCTAATTTCATTTCACTTTTTGCGCACTGATAGCTTTTTAGTTGTCTGCTTGTCATTTTCTGTGTGTTTGGAATGCCGTAGTGATGAGTATTGGAGCCACTGGAGAGAATAGCGTAGAGCTGGTGGTTTCTCTGTCGTACCTGGGAACTGTACTCTCCATAAACAGTCCCCTTAGGCTCCTTTTGGTTAAGAAAGGGAAGCTTTTCCCATGAAACTGTGGAAATTTGAACATGTGGGCTTTACTTTGCCAAGTGTGCACCTTTCTGATCTGCCAGAGATTGCCAGCTTAGCTGCTACGTGGTCCCTTGTTGGGAATGCTCTGTGCACTGTGTGAGGTCGCGTCTAACTGGGACTTTTAACCTGCTTCTGGCAAACAGGGCCATACGTGATCTCCTGTTTTGCTTTGTGCTAAGACTGAATTCTGCAGCCCACATTCTGGCTAAGAGAAGTGTCCAAGAGAGAAGGTTTTTATTAAAAATAATATATTTTCCCAGAAACTTGTGTGAAAGCCAGCTCTTGTGCATTCCTAGTAACTTACTTTCTTCTCCTTTGTTATGGGACTTGGTAATGCTGCAAAAAATTCAGTATCTCCAGGAATTTAGGGTCATTGGAGCTATACAGCACTGATCCATCCCTGATGGAAAACTCCCGCTCCTATTGCTAACAGTTCCATACTTTACACTGAGGAAAAGGTGGATGCAGTGTGGTAGAACATGCTGAAATGGTGTTGTGGTTTAACCTCAGTCAGCAACTGAGCACCACAAACAGTTTAATAATTGAAATAAAATAGTAACAACAACAATAATAAAAGAATATACAAAGCAAGTGATGCATGATGCAATTGCTCACCACCCGCCGACCGATGCCCAGCCAGTCCCCGAGCAGCGGCCCCCGGGCCAGCTTTCCCCAGTTTATGTACTGAGCATGACGTCACATGGTATGGAATGTCCCTTTGGCCAGTTTGGCTGTGCCCCCTCCCAGCTTTTTGTTGTACCTCCAGCCTTCTCAGTCGGTAGGGCATGGGAAGCTGAAAAGTCCTTGACTTAGTGTAAGCACTACCTAGCAACAACTAAAACATCGGTGCGTTATCAACTTTGTTCTCATGCTCAATCCAAAACACAGCACTGTACCAGCTACTAGGAAGAAAATTAACTCTACCCCAGCCAAAACCAGGACACGTGGTGAGAAGAGGAGGTTGAAGGTGTGAAATATGAGTACTAGAAAGACTGGTATAAGAAAGCCAGGTGTATAGAAGAGATGAGTAGGACAGTAGAAAAAGCAAATGATAGGCTGAGTGTTTAGAAGTTAAGATGATCTTTACCTAGCTAATTACCTGCAGTGTCCTGTCCAGAGAAATGTTATGTTTAGGCTTGAGCTTAACCTCCATAGTGAAAACCAAGCATGGGGAAGAAGGTACAGCTAGTAAAAACCACCCAGCATGAATCCTCAAAGCCCTGGAGGCATTACGTACCATCTGTATGAAGAACCCAACTTCTCCAATGGTTAGCCCTTGGGGTTGGCAGCACAGCCTGTGTCTGCTGCAGCTGTGTGGTTCAGAGTGCAGGTTTCCGAGGTCAGATCAGAGCAGCCTGTGTGGTTGGGTATGGATCTGCTGAGAGAGTATAAACTCCAAAAGGTGCCGGCTGTTGATCATGGCTACCCCTCTTCTCCGTATGGGTGTCTTTCTACAGGACTTCATTTTGAGCTACGGCTGTGTTTAGGCGAGAAACTGAATCATAACCATATTTTAATTTGAGCTGTTAAAATGTCTCCCATCAGGAGTCTTCAGTCAGCTCGTGTGTGACCGATCCTCACCTTGACATGGCTTTCTGCAGGACAAGAAGTATCTTCTGTGGCTGGCCTTGATGTTCTGAATAAAGAACATTTTGCTTGTAGTAGTCTGCTTTGTAACAGTTTAACTTTGTGCTCTTTCTTCAGAGGACGTGCTGAGTAAAGATGCTGGGGAGTGTGCAATATGCCTGGAAGAGCTGCAGCAAGGAGATACTATAGCACGGCTACCTTGCCTCTGCATATATCATAAAGGGCAAGTATTCCTCAGGATGCATGTAAAACTCCAGAAGGTTGCATTTATTAGGTAACTCCTCTAAGGGGTGCTTAAAGGAGCACTAAAACTTAGTTGCTTTTTACATTTAAAAAACAATCAAACAACAAAGAAACAACAGCAGCAACCCTAAAGATGTTTTTAAAAGGACATCTTTCTGCCTCTCCACCAATGTATTTGAAGTCAGTTTTCCCTACTATAGTCTTCTCATGCTTGCATGAAAGGCTCACAGGAAAAATAAGGCAAAATCGCCTGTATGGGGAAGGAGCGCACATCATGGCTAGGGAGCGTAGGTTGTGTGTGCTCAAGTTTTGTCAAATGTGAACAGGCTTGGGAGGAGAGAGGGAGGAGCACTTTTTAGACCTGTTTCATATTTGTTTTCACAAGTGTCTGTAACTACAGGAAGTAAAATGTCAATGAATGATATAAGCAAGATGATAGTGTTAGTAGTGAAGTAACCTGTGTATAAAACTGGGGTAGTAACTTGTAAAATGCTTCCTTGGAAAACTTTAACACTTAGGAAATTTAGTTTTTCAACAGTGTTTAATATCCAAATATTACTGTGGTTTGGGGCTATTATATTTTCCAATGATATGTGTATATACATATACTTCTTTGTATAATATAAAATCCTACTAGTCATTGAAATTATGAGAAACCAGTTTATATTCATATCTTACTGCTAAATGTTACTGAGATATTCATGCCAATTGTTTTAATTTTTGTCTTGCATCCAACAGCTGCATAGATGAATGGTTTGAAGTAAATAGATCTTGCCCTGAGCATCCATCAGATTAAGACAAGATTCATGCTTTTAGGTAATATTTATTTTTAGACGCATACATTTCAACAATAAATATCTTGATTATCTGAAATAACTCTTTATGCTATTTTTTTTAAATTTGTGAATTTGCTACTGTGTCTCAGAACTGCAATATTAATCAGTAAGTATTGACGTATATTGCAATATGTAAAAGGTTTCTGCATCCTTATGGCATGGTCTGAAATGATGTATTCCAGTTTTAGTTCTGGGAAGTGGCAAGTCAGTGCCAATAAAGCTTTAACATTAACTTCTAAAGAGTATTTTTTCCATGGAAATGAAACAAAATTAAAATAATACAACTGTGTAATTTTGGATTGTTCCATGAGTACTGGCATTTATTTCTGACGGGAAGCTTTTGGAATCATTTGAAGAAGTTGAAACTAGGTATTTTCAAAACCACTTTCATGTTAATGCATTCCAGAATGTTTAAAATGTATAAATAAATAAAAAATGTTAACATGTTTCCATCCATCCCATCTCACAGAGGTTCACATTTCTCCAGCTTATGTTTTGTGTTAATGATTTCAGGTCTGCAATCAGTGTCAAAGGTTTAAAGGAAAGGTTTATTTTCTTAGTTGACTAGTTAGAAAACTTTATCTTGCATTAAACTACTGCCCCTAAGCATTGCCAAACACACCGACAGTCATCATAATTCTTAGAGAAATGGAGACATCTGAAATTCTGGCTGGTAGCTGAGGGTTTGGTTTTGTTGTTCTGATGGAAATAAAAAAAAAAAAATCTGAAGACTTCATCATTGGCATTTATTTGTTCATTTGTTTCATCTTCATAGAATCATAGAATAGTTTGGGTTGGAAGGGACCTCTGAAGGTCCCCCATCTAGTCCAACCCCCCTGCTGTGGGCAGGGACATCTTCCACTCGATCAGGTTGCTCAGAGCCCCGTCCAACCTGACCCTGAATGTTTCCAGGGATGGGGCATCCACCACCTCTCTGGGCGACCTGTGCCAGTGTTTCACCACCCTCAGCGTAAAAAATTTCTTCATCTAGTCTGAATTTACCCCCCTTTAGTTTAAAGCCATTCCCCCTTGTCCTGTCGCAATAGGCCCTGCTAAAAAGTTTGCCCCCATCTTTTTTATAAGCCCCCTTTAAGTACTGATGTTGCAGGTCACATTGCAGTGCTATGGTTGTTGCAGGGGTAGCAGAGAAAACCTGAAGGAAGGTATCCTGCTACAGGGATAATTGTTTTAATAAACAAACATGTTTCCTGTATCGGCCCCAACAACTGAATTGTGGAAGAAGCCTGCATGCTCTTTGTGAACACATTTGTCTCTGTACTTGCTCATGGGTGTCTAACCTCATGTTAAATCCAATTGGCTTTTTTTCACAGCGGAGGTGGTGATAATTGGGGCTTAGGGATAAGAGGAAGGAAGTTTGTGTGTTATATACTGTGAAATAGCTGAAATGATGGTACTTTTGTCTTCTGCTTTTTCAACAGCTGCTTCCACTGATCAGAAAACATAGGAGATGTGAGGTTCCCTTGCTGAACACAGCGTGCCTGGCTTGAGACTTACAGTTCTTTGTGGCTGAAAAAGGCAAAGATGGACAGTGACATGGAAAAAGCATTGCAGACACCGGTTACTTGCCAGTAGTGCTCAGTATACCAAACACTCATGCAAAGGACACACAGGGATTTTGAAAATGCTGCACGTTCTGTAACAATCGACTCCCCACAGACATTACTGACACTGTTTTGTATCGAAGGCCAAAGTTCCTAATTTCAGCCTAACTTCTGGTTCAGTGAAGAAGCGGGTTATTGGACGTGTTTCCTACTGCCTCAAGTGGAAGCGGAGACGTTCGATACGTGCTATCCGAGACCCTTGCAGGAGGATGGCCCCGGGTTTGAGTGGGAACGTTTTCACCTTCTCATTGATTGAAGAAGAGTAAATGGCAAACTAAATATAATCTAACAGTGTGACCTTAATTTACTGAATTCACACCCTGTTTTATGTTCTTCACTTTTTTCAAGAACAGAAAGCATAAACTTCTCTGCATAGGAATACTATATTTCAAAATTTTGTAACTAAACCTTTGTCACAATGCAGTCCAAAGAGTAAAACCAAGACAGGTAACTAATTTATATCGATCAAGCTGTAGGGATTGTTGAAATCTGCACATTGTATTGCTATTTAAATAACTAAACCTTCTCTTTTACTGCTTGTGAGTAAAAAAAAAAAAAAAAAAAAAAAGCAGCAAAGCAAAATCTTACAGCTATGCAACTTTTTTTTAAATAGGAAAAAAAAGAATTACCAATTTTAAGTGCTGCCAGTTAAGGTAATTTGTTTAACGGGTATTTTTTTAAAAACGTTTCAGGTAATTATTTTATTGTACTACTCTCATCTCCAGGCTGCCTCCTGAGGTGTAAATGAATAACTGCAAATGTGGGTACAGCAAGAGGGTTTTTCACAGGCATGGGTGAGATAACATCGAGGTGGGATTTGTGTTTAATTTTTGAAACGCTTAGGCACAAGTTTTTGTTTCCTTGTTTGAATGTTTTTTTTGATGGCAGGGTCTGTAGTTCTTTGCATCTAAACCCTTGGTCTCTTCATGTGGAGACCAGCATTTGACAGTGTGGTTTGTTTTTTTTTAAAATGCACCTGCATTTGTTTAATTTATTATTATTTTACTGTATTATATTGGTATAACCAGGGCTCCATGAAACACAGGATGTCTCTGGGGGGGTACACCAAGTAAAACTGTGGATAAGTATTAGTTCCCATAAAGTATCACAGTTCAAAAAAAAAAAAGACAGGAAAGAAAAAAAAAAAGACAATAAACTGGAACAGACATCAGGGCTTAGAAGCATACTTTTTATATCAAGAATTAATCGTAGTAGTTTCTGAATTTCACAGTACAGGGAAGAGTTTATGAATATTTATTAGCGACAGCATTTTTAATGGGTTTCAATAGCTAAAATAAATTGCACAACACTTTGAACATTTTTCTTGTACATACATAATTCTGCTTTTCTTTTTTTGTGTAAGTACATATTTCTCTCTGTTGCTACTGTGATTCGTATCAAAAAGGGCAAAGAACAGGAGCAACTGCTGCTATCTGGAGAACAAGTGCAGTGCATGTTACTAGACTCTCCTATCGTGCTTGCAGAGCAATTCTTGCCGGGATAACATTTTCTCCTGAATGTTGCTCTGTAAAATGCCTTTGTTATGCTGCAGATCTAAAGGAGTCCAAACTAGATAATCGCTGGTGCAGTTTCTATATTTTTGGGCTTGCATCACTGGTTTCAGCCGAACCTGTAACTATGGGGCCCCGTTGTATTCTCTTTTTCAGTGGGAGCAGAACCATTTTGTCACACTTTCAATTCTATAGTCACATCATATGTACAGTTGTTCCCTGTACAGATTCCTTTTTAGCCAAGAATAGTTGTGTTGCCTTGTATTATCATGGGGGGGAGGGAGGGGATGAAGAATTACAGCACCTGTAATACTCAAATAGTGGTGTTGCCTGCAGGCCTACTTTTCCAATGTTTTAAATTCCTGCTATCTTCTGAAAGTAAAGCTTTTGCATTTGCATTGATTTAATGTTTACTGTTGGCTTCATGCCTACAGAAACTCACCTGTAATAATGTAAAGGGGGTAGGTAAGTGTTTTGGTGTCCTGTGCTCCGAGGTCATAGATAGTCTTTGGCTTGGGGATTAAGTAGGTGAATATTATAAACATAAATCTGTTTACAACTTAAGCTCAGTTTTGGTAGTTTGTATTTCTAGTTAATTTACTGTTTGTTTTTTTGGTTTTTGTTTTTTTTTTTTTTTTTTTTCCAAAAACCTTAAATTTTCTGTATTCTGATGCAAGTAGCTGGTTTAAAGACCCAGCAGTTATCACTGCTGTCCTACATTTAGGACCAGTGTTTGAAAAGTGTGCCACTAGCAATCACACTGATGCATGGTTTTGCAGGCAAGAGGCCGTTGCTGCTTCCATCGGCATGGTAGAACAGCAATACCTTGGATTATTTGAGGAACTGATACAAGGTCAGCCTTAGATCCTAGTTTGGCATTCTTGGTATCCATAAATCTCTTCTGAAAGGCTACGGGAGGTTTTCTTGCATCAAAACCTCTAATATAGACCAAGGCTAGAATGACCCTGGAAGCATGAGAGTGATGCTTGGGTTTGAAAACGCCTGTGGAAATTCACCTACGTGAGCTTTCTGTCACCAGCTGTGCTGGTCAGTTGGCGATGACCATGCTGTAGACGTAGCTCTAGTCATAGGCAACACCTTCATTTTAAAACCATCCTCACAGTGGTACTGAATCATTGGCTTCAGAAGGGGAAAATAAACACCAGTCCCGTGTCTCGATCAAGGAATACCACACTTGTCCACGAGAAGCAATAACTTAAAATACGGTGCGATATGCTTCTTTGCCTGTAAATATGTTGAGATTGCCAATTCTGTGCTGTTTCAGAGTGTTTTCTGTCATCTGGCCTGTATCTTCCCTAAGTATATAAGGGTTGGAAATAATTCCCATACTCAGGTCTGCCACAAACATGCTGCTTGCCAGAAGGGGAAGAGTAGACTCAACACTGTCTTGAAATGTGAGATTTTTCTGAACTTGTAACACCCCCATGTATCTGGAGTAGCAACTTGTGTTTTGAAGTTCATAGCGGAGGTGGCAATGATTTGGATTGTATATAACCCTACTCCATACAATACCAAGAGAGCCATGCTGCTGTCAGCACAGGGCACCCATAGTCCTGTCTCTTATTAATCAGTATATCTGTAATAACGCTTCCCTTTTGAAGGAGGTAGCTAATTTTCTTTCAACGTGTACATTCAGTGATGAGTTCAGTGGGACGTAAAAACAAAAATACAAAGCACACTGCAAATTTGTGGTATTTTATTTTTGGGAAGAATAAAGCCTGAAACAGATGGTCTTATTTGTAACAATTTAACTTTCATATTCAAGGGTAAGTGTACTGCAGTATTTTGAAATGGGAAACGTGTAGGTGATGTACAAAGACGTGGGCGGATACTTGTGACCTTTTTTTTTCCCTGCTCCCCCCCTTTATGATGTAAAGGGGGTTTTATGACCTAATCTCGAGATTCATATGTTTATCCTAGTTCTTAATGTTAGGAGCACTGGCTTTTTAATTAAGTCTTTGCTGAAAGGCTGGAGAGCTGGTAAAGCTGACTCCCAGAAGACTAAAATCTCAGCAAACGTGGGACAGATAATTTTTATTCAGGAATGTGGATCTTTGGTGTTTCTGGATGGATAATGTCTAATACGCAAGATGTGCTTATGGACGCTTTTAGTATGCCGCCTTTTCCATGTGAGGGCTTCAGAAACGTGCTCCAGTTTTGTTGTGTTCCACCGAAAGCAGGGAACTTGGCACCTGAATGTTACTACTATCTGTACGTAAACAGCAACAAAGCATATGTTGGTTTTGATGTAGGCCATGATCTCTCCAAGTTCAGTTGCTTTCTCATATTGGAAGAGAATATCTGTGTGCAAATTTGGTATTGCTGTTTTGTACCTACTAATTTTGCTGTACAGTTGGGAGTTTCCTGCCGAGAGGCTACCGTATACTGGGGAGCGCAGAAGTGCTACTATGGATCTTCCAGCTCACCTTTGCCAGTGAAGGATTATCTCATTTTTTTGATGAGTGCTATATTTCATGATTCACTTTCCACCCTTCCAAGCTTAAAAGTCATTTTAGCATCAATTTCTTCTCCTCTTCCTAGCTGAAGACATGATACGTTTTAGGCCATATCCCCTCAATCTTTGGACAGGCTTTCCATTGGCATCAGCAAAAGTAACGTAAGAGGTTGTAGCTGGAAGAGGAGGGCTTGTTACGGCTTTGCTACAACCCAGCCAAACGTGTTTTTTTCCTGCAGCCGTGTCATCAGCTCGTACCACTTCTTGTAATTCAAAATATTCTGTGTGAGAAATTCACGACAGAACTGTGTCCAGTTTTTGTTTCCTAAATGTGAAACTTATCATGTTTCTCCGTATAAATTAACCTGCTTCTAAAATCAGGTTGGAGATTTTTTAGCCTGGGGGGGGGGGAAGGGGGGGAGAAAAAAACAAGTCCTTACTCTCAAGTTGTCTCAAGCTGCATTTGGTTATCTTACTACACAGTTCGGCTGGCTTCCCAGGCTGCTGCATCGTGTTCTGTAAAGTCATTTCTCAGTTAAGTATGTCAGAGCTGATGACGGGATAAACTGTAAAATGACCTCACTGTGGGGCATTACTGGTTGCTGAAGACTTGCTCAGGTAAACCATCGCAGGAATATCCTGCACCTGAAAAAGGTGGGACTTGGTTGTCTTTCGGTCTAGTAAGTTGCCAGCGTACAAGAAGTCGAAGGCAGCGAGCCCGCTAGCTGATCTTTCTGGCAGCTTTTAATCTCTGTGTGTTTGTCTGAGAGACTTTTGCCCTTGGGTGTGCTTTGGCAAAGATTTTGCAATGATAAGTAGGATTTGCTTGATTCTGGCAGAGTTTCAAGTGTAAGTAACCCGACGTTGCAAGAACATAATCTGTTGCTGAATCCTGTTCCTCTTGTTTTCCCTCAAATCTGTCCTTTTTATTGCTAATTTGTTATATTTAATAGTAAACACTTCTCAGCGTGACTGGTCACAAGCTCTCAAGGTGTGAAATGCTAGCAGGAGAGACATCAAAGTGTGATTCTGTGCTCTTCCTGTATATATTAAGACGAAGCTGAAGTATTCGTTATCGTACAGTCAAGAATTCTCTCCTAGCTGATATTGCCAAAGTACTAAACTTTCAAGGAAGAAGGAAGGTGGCTTAGCTGTAGAGGGGATGTTTTAATGAACTACTTTATTTTACAAGCTGCAGTATCACACTGAACGAGCGGTGATCCTGCATGAACCTCATCACTTGATTGCGAACCTCATTCTGGCTCTCCCTACCCTTTGGCAGGGGCCTGCTGGTAGGGAGCAGGGTGTATGTTCCCCTTTTTTTATATGCCTCTTCCCACAGAGCTAACCCTGCCTACGAGGAGTTAGAGGGAACGCCATGCTAGCTTCTGAAATGGCACCCGTACGTGCAGTGGTAATGGACAAGATGTCTTCCTTCGTTACCCGGAGCAGAAATCGGAATGCAATTTGCCATGTCTAATGTAAAACGTGTTTGTTGTTTTGGTTTGGTTTTTTTTTTCTTTTAATTGAGCGGTATGATTGCAAGTTGACTTAAGTTGTTCTAAGGTACTCTCTTCAGTGGTCTGCCAGTACATAATCATGAATGAAAATATTTTTTTATTGATTTTTAGGTTGTATGTTTAACATTCCATTCATGTAAAATATGTACAAATATATGTAATAAATCTTTTGAAGTACAATTTTCTTTACACTTCCAGGTGATTTTTTTTTTTTTTTTTAAGTATTAGTGAAAGAGGCATCGCTGTTGGGCACAGCTTCCGTAGGAAGCTTTTCCTTCCTTCAGAGGAAGGAAAAGCAACGCGTGGTGTATAGTCACAGCTAGAAAAGCAAGTTGGTACCTCGCCTGTCTGCAGTTCTGCAGGTAGGAGCGCAGACCCTCTGGGCCAGCCGCTGGCCCCCCTCAGAGCCCCTTTCGCTCTTCGCGGATCCTGCGAAG